GTCTGATCCCCCACTCCGTAGTAATACCCAGCTCTGCTGATCCTCCACTCACTAGTAACCCCCAGCTCTGCTGATCCCCTACTCAGTAGTAACCCCCCACTGAGTAGTAATACCCAGCTCTGCTGTTCCCCCACTCAGTAGTAACCCCCCAACTCTATTGATCCCCCACTCAGTAGTAATCCCCAGCTCTGCTGATCCTCTACTCAGTAGTGATAACCAGCTATGCTGATCCCCCACTCAGTAGTAACCCCCAACTCTGCTGATCCTCCTCTCTTCAGTCCCCACTCACCTCTTGCTATATTGCTCCCATGCTGCACACCACATGTGACATTGCTAGTTTCTTAGTTTCTCCTGCTCTGATCTGCCAGCTCTGCCAATCCTTCATCACTCTCTCTAGTCCCCACTCACTTTCCACTATAGTGTTCCTATGTTACACACTTGTGCCATCTGCTAGTTGCTCCACTGTAGTCCAGACCCTGCTCACCTTCCTCCTGCAAAGTGTTGGGCAGACATCATCATGCACCGTAACCAGAAGTAAAGTGCAGCCACTTTCCTGTAACCACCCATCTAATATACTATGTTGCCAAAAGTATTGGGACACCACCCTCCAAATCATTGGATTCAGGTGTTCCAATCACCTCCATGGTCACAGGTGTATAAAATCAAGCACCTAGGCATGCAGACTGCTTCTACAAACATTTGTGAAGCAATGGATCGCCCTCAGGCATTCAGTGAATTCAAGTGTGGTACCGTGATAGGTCGCCACCTGTGCAATAAGTCCATCTGTGACATTTCCTTGCTACTAAATATTCCACGGTCAACTGTTAGTTGTATTATAACAAAGTGGAAGCAACTGGAAACAACAGCAACTCAGCCACCAAGTGGTAGGCCATGTAAAATGCCAGGGTGGGGTCAGCACATGCTGAAGCGCACAGTGCGCAGAAGTCGCCAGCTGTCTGCAGAGTCAATAGCTAAAGACTTCCAAACTTCATGTGGCCTTCAGATCAGCACAACAACAGTACATAGCTTCATGGGATCGGTTTCCATGGCCGAGCAGCTGCACTCAAGCCTTACATCTCCAAGTGCAATGCAAAACGTCAGATGCAGTGGTGTTTTAGTAAAAGGTGGAAAAAGTTCTAAAATGATTTATCTTTGTCTCATTTTTTTACACCACAGAAACCTGACTTTTTATATCCACCGTACATGTGATTTTTTTTAAACAATACGTGAATGCCATTTAAAAAAAAAAGTTGAGGGTTTATCGTTATACTGCACTATGGAGTTGTCCTCTATCTATAATTGAGCTTATTTCAGTGGAAAAGTGGAACACCGACCCCTTAACCGCATGCCCCCCAGCCACTGTACACATACGGTGGCAGGGCGGCACTCACAGGCAAAACCACGTTTTAAAACGTGTGTTTTGTAAACAAATAGGGGGCGCACGCGAGGCGCGCTGCCGCCCTATTTGTCCTGTGGATCACCGCCGCAGATGTCAGTTGCCGGGTCACAGCCGTTCGTTAGCGGCTATGTCCCGGCGATCGGCGGTAAACGGTGACAGAGAGCAGAGCTGCAGTAGCTGTGCTGTCAGCTCGAGGATGAGCTGATCGAGAAAGAATAGTTTCACTTTCTCGATCAGCTTTGTCCCGCCCAGTACACCCCCCCGCCCCCTAGTAAAACACTCCCCTCACTCCTATTACCCTTCCCTGCTAAATAAAGTTAACCCCTTCCTCCCCATTGCCATTAGTACAGTGTCCGTTTTTTTTTTTTTTGCACTGATCACTGTATTAGTGTTTTTGGGGATGTCAGTGACCCCAAGTCAGGACCCCCCAATGTCAGAATGTCCGCCGCAGTCCCGCCATAAGTCGCTGGTTGCTGCCATAAGTCCCTGATCGCCGCCATAATTCGCTGATCGCTGCCATTATTAGTATAAAAAAAAAACCCTAAAAATCCCAGTATCTTTCCCGCCATTTGTAAACGCTATAACTTTCACGTAAACCAATTAGTTTTTTTTTTTAGCAAAGACATGTCGCAGAATGCATTTTGGCAGAAATTTATGACTAAATTTGATTTTTGCATTTTTTTTTTACTGGACATGTTTTATAGCAAAAAGTCCAAAATATTGTTTTTTTTTTTTCCTCAAAATTGTCAGCCTTTTTTTTTTATAGCGCAAAAAATAAAAACCGCACAGGCGATCAAATACCACTGAAAGAAAGCTCAATTTGTGGGGAAAAAAGGATGTAAATTTCATTTATGTACCGTATTGCATGACCACGCAATTGTCCGTTAAACTAGCGCAGCGCTGTATAGCAGAAAAATGGCGTAAATTGCAGTATTTATACCATAGTTTGTAGACGCTATAACTTCCACACAAAGCAATCAATATACACTTATTGGGATTTTTTTTACCAAAAACATGTAGCAGAATACATTTTGGCCTAAATTTATAACCAACTTTGAGTTTACGGTATATTTTTTATAGCTGAAAATAAAAAATATTTTTTCTTCAAAATTTTTGGCGTTTTTTTGTTTATAGCGTGAAAAATAAAAAAGCGCACAGGTGATCAAATTACACCAAAAGAAAGCTCTATTTGTGTGAAAAAAAGTACGTAAATTTCGTTTGGGTGCACATTGCATGACCGCGCAATTATCAGTTGAATTAGTGCAGCGCCAAGTAGCAAAAAGAGACCTGGTCATTAAGGGGGGTAAATCCTCAGGAGCTCAAGTGGTTAAAGAGGTAGACACCTTGTTTTGTTGAGAAGTGACCTGAGAGGAGAGAGCAAGATCTGAAGTATTGGGTACCATTAGAAGTGTCCTTATGTGCTTATGGCCTATGTGATGGGGGTCATATCTGGAAGGTGAGGGCGTGGGTTGCACAGTGGTGGAGCATGAGTGTTAAACACTGGAGTTTGTGAAACACTAAGGAAGGATATTTTATTTGCACTCATGTTGTCACCAGACTGAAGTATTATTGCATATGTGTGGCATTTGAGGTGAAATTACACATATATTCATATAAGAGACACGATTAAATAGTGCTTTCAAATTGTGACATCATACTTACATGCACGGTTTATATTATTATGAGTTTATTATTTTCATGAAGCACATATATGGGATTGAAATGTTTATGTCTTTTTAAAATTTACTTTCACTGGCAGAGCAGCACCGTTTTTTTGGTTTATAGATATCTACTTCACTAACAAATGCGGCAGCCGTGAACATTGAATAAACTGTATGTAGCCTCAGCTACATAAAATATACAGCACCATGTACCAGGCAGCAGGACAGGAACTTCCAAGTCCCACTCCCAGAACAAAATCGAGTTGGGCTGAGGGCTGCTCAGTCATTCATAGGAAGCTTTGTATTCTATGAATGAATACAAAGCTTTCTCTGATTGGCTGCGGCGGAGATCATGTCATCGGCGGAGATCATGATATCATCTGCGTGCCTCTCTGCTTCATTTCAGCCAATAAGGAAATTTCGTATTCATTCATAGAATACAAAGCTCCCTGAGAAGGGCTGAGCAGCGCTCAACCCTACTCTATTTTAGGAAGTACACTCACACTTTTAGGAAGACTCACTACTAGAACAAAGCGCTGTGCTTGCTTCATACAGTTTATACAGCCGCTGTATCTGTTGGCCCAGGGGCGGACTTACAACTCATGGGGCCCCCGGGCAATAGGGAATCATGGGGCCCGTGTCCTCGTCCACACTCAAACCACACCCAAAAAAGCCTATGAAAAGGTACCAGGGGCATCTCATGGGGCCCCCTACTGACCCCGGGCCCTCGGGCAGTGCCCGAGTGCTCGAATGGTCAGTCCGCCCCTGGGCCCAAGTAAACTGTTTAAAGTTCAGTGAAACCTGGAATTCTTCTTTAAGTGAACAGACGTATCACCTCCTTCCTGCTGTGCTCATAGGTCTCCAACTGGGTTTGGGACTCTCTTTTTATAAAGAACAGAATGCTCTGTAAAATCAGTGTCATGGTTGCACCCCATATTAATTGTTTATTTGTAAAGCAAAGATTTTATAAACATTATAAGAAAAAAAAAGATACAAAACAGTTTATAAAATTGTGAAAAACAAAATGGTCCAAAAAACATTACAGTTTCCCTTTAAAGAACAAAGAGAAGCCTTACATAGTTGCAGGGTTATGCCAGTGAACAGAGAGATTCAGTAGTCCTCTCTCACAATCACAGCCATTATCAGCTGCAAAACCCTCCACCACCATTGTCAGGTCTTCCTTCACACCTATGGAGAACACAGTGGGGTTGATTTTCTAAAGGTAAATATACAGTGCACTTAAAGTGAAGTTGCTTTAGATGTGAGAAGGAAGCTCTGCTGATTTCTTTCATGCAATCACGTGCAAGCAGAAATGTTGTTTTTTATTTTCCTTGCATACGATAGGGTATTCTTTGCACAGTAAAACTTTCCCTCGTTTACTAAGCTCTGAAGCAATCGCACATGCAGTGCAGAGTATATTTGCCTTTAGTAAATCAACCCCATAGGTTGCAGGTATTTGCAATGGCTGTGCCATGAGTTGAGGAACTCCAGATGACTGATCTCCGTTCTTAATAGGTAGCCCAAGTGCTCTTAAAGGAGAAGTTCACCTTTTAGAACATGTTAAATGTTACACCCCTATTTAGAGTGTAAAATGTAACATGTTCCAGCACCCTCCCTCCCACCTCCTTTTTTCTTTAAAGGTGAACTTATTTGACAATATATTTTCTGTGCTGAAGACTTCCTTTTAATTGTTCCTTCATCAGAAGAAAAAGGCCAACATGAAATGACTGTCCAACCTAAAGATGCAATGTGGAAATAATATAAATATATAATTATAATAATAATAATGTACATTATAGGTACTGTATGTTAAAATTGGCATTCCCATGGAAAACCATTCATATTCATTTATTCATTTATCCTTTGGTGATCAGCAACAAACTATCAGCATACAGATTTTAGTTATATATTTACACTGAAATGTCTCATACATAGGAATCTTATGAAGTGGAGCTATGACAGAGAGGACAGAAGCTGTATGCAGATATCTCTCGGTCTTGAACTCCGTGCTTGCAAACACTGCACATCCAGAACTGGTATTCTGTAATGGGTCTCCCTGAAGCAATGCATGTTGGCAACTTTCCTTCCCCGCTGTAGGAGGAAACAAAAAAAAAATTATTTAGGAATTATTATTTATGTATTAAATATCATAGTCGCCTAAAGCCTCTTGCACACTGCAGCTTGAAAAAAGCTAAGTACAGTGGTTTTTTTTACTGATCTAAAATACAGTCCATTACCTGTATACACAGGCACATAAATAAGCTTTGCATATTCTTGAGTGAAAAAAAAGAAAAAATCTGCGTTCTGGGTCAGTATTTTGTGCAAATATGTGCATATGAGCATAAATATTTTGAATATTCATAGATTTTGGCTATAGGAGTGTACTACATGCACATAAATACGTACAAATACGTGCAACACAAATGCCTTACAATACATCCAGAAATGCTGATGTTCAAACATCAGTACCATGTGCAAGCGGGCTAAAAGATTACATCTATGTCCCCAAGGTAACTTGACTTTTGGTCACATGATTTTAGAAAAGAGGATCAGAATCCCAAAACAGCTGTTCTGTCTAGACTGTTCAGCGTGAAGCTCATCCCCCCAATCTCTTCAGCTAAAAGTTCATATCTAGATATTTAGGCATACAATCATGGGACCAGCATCTTTACAGCCATTTACTCCAGTTCCACCAACAGGTATGCTTGTCTTCAAAAAATTGGAAACCAGTGAGAATCCATATAAATACATATACGGCATTTCATAAAATCCTGTTTCTGGTTTCTAAATCTAAAATATTCACAGGGTCTGTGTGTTGACATCACATGTTATACAAACCGTTCTGGGAAGACATCAGCCTCGGATTCCGGCTGTCTTTTGGACTGTGTTTGGTGAAGATTTCCAGGGCAAGGTCTTCATATTGCTGTTTCTGCTCAGGGCTCAAAGTCTCTAAGGATTCCAGTTTAATAAAGGCCTTGGAACACGTACCGAATGCCCTGTTAGCACAGGCACAGAGTGCCAGCAAGGAATAGATCTCAACAGCAGGAATAATATCTTCATAATCTCTCAGGTGTATAGCTGGGAATCACAAAGACAAAAGGTAAAACTTGTGTGCACCAAACAGACTGAACAGTTACAGTTGCAAGAAAAAGTATGTGAACCCCTTGGGATTACGTGGAGTTTTGCATGAATTGGGCATAAAATGTGCTCTGAACGTCATCTAAGTCACAACAATAGAAGAACACAGTCTGCTAAACATAATACTACACAAACATTAGATGTTGGCATGGTTTAATTGCACATAACATGTAAACATTCACAGTGCAGGGAAAAAAGTATGTGAACCTTTGGACTTAATAACTGGTTGACCTTCCTTTGGCAGCAATAACCTCAACCAAACGTTTCCTGTAGTTGCAGATCAGACCTGCACAACGATCTGGAGTAATTTTGGACCACTCCTATTCACAAAACTGTTTCAGTGTAGCAATATTCTTGGGATGTCTGGTGTGAATCGCTCTCTTAAGGTCATGCCACAGCATTTCAATCGGGTTGAGGTCAGGACTCTGACTGGGCCACTCCAGAAGGCGTATTCTGTGCTGTTGCAGCCATTGTTTTGTTGAATTACTTGTACATTGTCCTGTTGCATCACCCATCCTCTGCGGAGCTTCAGTTGGCGGAAGATGGTCGTACGTTTTCCTGCAAAATGTCTTGATAAACTCTGGAATTCATTTTCCCATCAATGACAACAATCCGACCAGGCCCTGAGGCAGCAAAGCAGCCCCAAACCATGATGCTCCCTCCGCCATGTTTTACAGTGGGGATGAGGTTTTGATGTTGGTGTGCTGTGCCTTTTTTTCTCCACACATAGTGTTGTGTGTTCTTCCCAAACAACTCAATCTTGGTTTCATCTGTCCACAGTATATTTTGCCAGTAGTGCTGTGGAACATCCAGGTGCTCTTTTGCAAACTTCAAACGTGCTGCAATATTATTTTTGGACAGCAATGGCTTCCTCCGTGGTGTCCTCCCATGTACTCCATTCTTGTAATGTTTTCCTTATTGTAGATGTGTCAACAAAAATGTTAGCATGTGCCAGAGATTTCTGTAGGTCTTTAGCTGACACTCTGGGATTCTTCTTTACCTCATGCAGCATTCTGTGCTCTTGCAGTCATTTTTACAGGACGACCACGCCTAGGGAGAGTAGCAACAGTGCTAAACTTTCTCCATTTGTAGACAGTCTTTCTTACCGTGGACACATGAACATCAAGGCTTTTGGAGATACTTCTGTAACCCTTTCCAGCTTCATGCAAGTGAACAATTCTTGATCGTAGGTCTTCTGAGAGCTCTTTTCTGCGAGGCATGGTTCACATCAGACAGTGCTTCTTGAAACCAGTAAACCGAAAACAGGTGTGTGTTTTTTAAGGGCAGGACAGCTGTCAGCAACACATCCAATATCATCACACTGATTGGAGTCAAGGTTGGCTCACTCCTGGCTCCAATTAGCTCTGGGAGAAGTCATTAAGCTAGGGCCTCACATACTTTTTCCCTGCACTGTGAATGTTTACATGTTATGTGCAATTAAACCATGGCAACATCTAATGTTTGTGTAGTATTATGTTCAGCAGACTGTGTTCTTCTATTGTTGTGACTTAGATGACGTTCAGAGCACATTTTATGCCCAATTCATGCAAAACTCCACGTAATCCCAAGGGGTTCACATACTTTTTTCTTGCAACTGTATCTATTTCCTACACTTATCAAAAATGCAGACAAATATTTAACCCAAGTATTGAACTTCCCATGTTTCTTCCCTACAATAAAAAGATAAACAATTATTCCAGATATGTAGTACTCAATCAGTAGTTAAAATAATCACTTTAAATTGGCCCAGTATCAAAATCAAAAAGGAAGCAAACTGCAATAGAAGAGATAATAATTCTCAGAGCATGTAGAGGGGACACAAGAGTCTGACACTCTCAGTAGTGTCAAATGCTAAAGAGACTGACAGGGGTTGCAGTGCTGGAATAGAGAGACGGTTGTTGAAAAGGTCCACCAGGAAGGGGAGATCTCTTCTATTGCAGGGACCTTCTTTTTGGATTCCATTACAGAACTGACCGGATCTTTAAATTACACAACATATATGTATGTAGTGTATAGTGATGACACTTTTTTCCAAGGCATCATAAATAGCTACAGCTCCTTGTTCCTTCTTCTCCTCAGACATAACAGTTTGAACCTACATTTCAACAAAAAGCCTTCTATATGAACTAATTGTAACCAAAGGTGCCAATTACTCCCAGAATTGGTAAATCAGTTTGGGTGAATGATGATGGACTATAATAACTGAATTCTATAGGGTTTAGTCGATTCAAGAAGCCATATATCTTCATGTGAATTCTTGAGATATACACCCAACTAGAGGAAGCCAATGAAAGGAAGTCTCATTCCTATCTGCTGCATCTGCTCAATGTAGAAGAAAGCTGGAATAGACACATTTGCATAATGGCAGTAGGATGAGGGCAAAGCTGAAAACTCAAATCTCAGTGGTCAAGTCACAGAGATGTGAGAAGCAACTGGGGGCATCTACCTATGACTATCCAAAAGTGAAATATATACATAATAACCTCTTGGGCATCTCCACAGTTGTACTTTTTCTAGTTTACCTGCATTAAAAATATGCAAGTTTAGACTCACCTGTCCTCATAGCAGCATCTACATAGCCTTCATAGAGCTGCCTCTGAGCCAGCAGGAAGAAGTGATAGGCCTCAGCCCCTCTCCAGGCATTGTCAATTATCCGATTATCAGACAGGAGACTGTCTTCCTCTAACAGGCCAGCCAGTGCCGACGTAGCCTGAAAAACAGAAGGAACATTACATAACCGGTATCAGCAGAAGGCACATATGATTAGTGCAATAGGTTGTCACCTTTTTATTCTGTATTTTTGGGTTTTTTAATTTTTTTTACCTTTTTGTCAGAGTATAGATCTAGGTTTGCCCAAAATATGTTTAAATTCAGTTACTGTTAACTGACTCACTACCTCAGCTGGAAGTCGGTTCCAAGTATCATCTACTCTTTCAGTAAAATAATACTTTCTAAGGTTAGTTTTGAACATTCCTCCTGCTAGTTTGAGGTCATGTCATATTCTTGATCTTAGCTTCATCGAAAATACTACCCTCCTTCATGTCCTTAATATATTTAAAGGTTTCAATCATTTCCCCACTTTCTCCTCTTTTCTCAAGTCTGTACATATTAAGTTCCCACATTCTCTCTGACTTTTCACCATTTTTGTTGGCTGTTTCAGCAGGGTGCTTTAAAAACATGCTATGTACTCCTCTGGCTTTAGAAGTCTGAAGCCAGCAGAACATAATAAAATGAATGGAAGGCGGGAGGAGAGCCAGTCACTGTCAGTCATGTGACCAGCCTCTCCTCCAGTCACAAAGTACTTTCTGGTGTGATAGGCAGAGTAAATTCTGAAAGGTACAGAAGGTTCAATATGATTGCCAGATTTATGACTGAGTTAAAAAATGTAGACTGTGGTATTGACCAAGGCTGCTGAGCATAAGAGAGTGGATAAGAATTAATAACTGAGCCCCTCGTTGTTATAGAGTTAGAAAAATTAAACCCTCAATGCTAAGGAGAGAGGAAAGCGGCTTAGCGGAACTAAACTCCCTAGTAAATTCACCGCCACTGTCCAGCAAGGTGGCGGTTACATCCCTCTGCCACTGTCAGCTTTTCCCCAGGTGCCAGGTTTTTAACCTTTTGATTGGCCAGAGGGGGGTGACATCATTCTGCTCATGTGCACAGGAGTCAGTCATTCCGACACAGTGGAACTGTGCTGGGAAGCCGCGGCTGAGCTGCACATGCAAATATGGTTTGAAGTTAAGACATGTCTCCCCTGTGGAACAGAGATATTCAATTCACTCTCTTGCTGGACCAAGTCCTGCAGAATCTTGCTCACAGGTTCAGAGTCAACAGAGCTTCATCTTGCTGGTTTGCTCAGTAAGGGTGAGAGAATATAGTAGCAGGTGAGTGTTCTCACTGCTGCTCTCTCAACAATACTGTCCCTGGAGAGTTCCTGCCCTAGTGACAGGATCACTGGAATGGTAGAGGTGTTAAAGCCTAACTCCAGGCACCATAGCTTTACCAGATTTACAACAGTAAACATGCCTTTGCCTCACTAAAGCTCAAGGAAAAAGGAAAAAAGGGCAGCATACTGATGGTGTCTTAAAAAGTCCAGTGAACTTTAATAAGCAAGCAGAGCAGCATAAAGCACACACTGTAGACCTCCCACCTGAGATCACACCGGAACACGTTTCACCCATGAACAGGCAGGTTGGTTGTACTGAAGTCGATCCATCAATCAATTGCAGTAAACCAGCCTGTCTGGGTTTTTTTGCCAGATAACTGGCAGTGACTATAGCCACCAATGGTGATCACTGTGTTCTGTCGGTGGGGAAGGCTCCCTGTACTCCCCGCCGGCAGAACACAACAGTGCTGCAGAAGGGATTCCCCCATCAACAATGAATGTACCAATTTTGGTAACTGTGTGTTGTTTGCATTGAAATCCAGGTGCTTTAGTTTTACCTTTTGCCATCAGCTATCAGTCTGAGCACATCAAGATAGATTATCATACCTCAATCTGCTTTCCTTTCAGCTTTCCTTTCTGTGTATTCTTCACATGTGTATGATACTGCTCCACCAATAATGCTGCCAGCACATACAGCTTCTTTACACGGAGTGGCTTTGTTCGTTTCTTGGCTTCTTCATCAGCAATCTGGAATAAAACACAATATACCAGTTAATGAACTACAAAGGATCACTGACAAGAGCATTCATTGCAGATTTTCAGTAACTTCTATGACAGGGGTAGGAAGACAATGAATTGAGTAGGTTGCTGCCTCTACAATCACATAATCACCTCTTGCTAGAGGCATGTTGGTGGTCTTTTGCAACCTACAGGTGGGTGCACCTACCAAGCTTTAATACCTTCTGTTCTCCGTATAATTCCTACTTACTGAAAGTACAGATTTGGTGTTGTATAGTCAAATGACTGTCCTGCAAAATGTTACATCTGCTAAATCATCAGCTACCAAAAGATTTCCCATTATTCCTTTGATTGTGAGCATTCAACATTCAATGATTGGTTCTATTGCACAAGTCACTACCACCATTTCTACTCAAATTGTAGTCAGCCCTCCACTGCTGAACTATATAGAAATAATTTTATTTCCCTAGAAATACCATAAACAACCCAAGTTTATAAACTACACTAGTGAGGGGTACAACGCCTGTATGCTTCTTTTGATGTCTGTGTCTCCACCAGTTGCTTTTACTATCTCTATCTGTCTTGGTATCCACACTCACTAAGACTGGCAGCTTGTGTTGGTCACAGCTAAAAGGGATTTTCCTCACTTTTGAGGAATTTCTTCTCTCTTCCTATTTTGTCTACAAAACAACAAAAAAACAATATGGGGATTTTAAACATTCTGTACTTTATCCAATATGAAAAAAAAAGAATCCCCACCCCCTTCAATCACATTTTGTTGCCAACATTTTGTTGAACACTAACATGTCCGAATAAAAATTCAAAAACATATCACCGAGTTGGAAAAAGAATCACCCCCCCCCCCTTCCTAAAAATTACTCAATCAGGTATAGCTAATTACCTTCTCACTGGCAATTTGACTTTCAACTGTGATCAGATGTGGTCATTTTGATTGGCTCAGCGTGAAAAGCTTTCTTGGAGCATATGAGTCCCTGGTAGTGCAAATGGAGCAAACGGTCAACTATAGGTGGCAAGACACTTTCAAAAGATCTCCGGGATAAAAGTTGTGGACAGTCACAAGTCAGGAGAGGGATACAAAAAAAATTCAAAGGCTTCATAGATGCTTAGATGCACGGTGAAGTCTATTATTAAGAAGTGGAAGGTATTTGGTACAGCACAGGCCCTCCCTGGATCAGGACGTCACTCCAAACTGGATGAAAGAGCCAGGAGGAAACTGGTCCAAGAAGCTTCCAAGAGGCCTACAGCAACTATGAAGCAGTTGCAAGAATTTATGACAAGGAATGGTCATTCTGTGCATGTGAAAAGAATATCACAAATTCTCCACAAATGTGGCTTGTATGGGAGGGATGAAAGAGAAAAGCCACTCTTCAAGAAAGGACGCATGCAGTCACGGTTGAGCTTTGCCAAAATGCATCTTGAAGATTCTGAGGCCACATGGAAAAAGGTGTTATGGTCAGATGAGACTAAAATTTAATTATTTGGCCTTAACACTAAACAATATGTCTGGAGGAAATCCAATGCAGCCCACCATCCAAATAACACCATTCCTACAGTAAAGCATGGAGGTGGTAATATCCTGTTATGGGGGTGTTTCTCTGCAGCAGGGACTGGAACACTTCTCAGGATAGAAGGAAAAATGGATGGGGCAAAATACCGTCAAATTCTTGAGGAAAATCTCCTGCCCTCTGCCAGAAAGTTGTCAATGGGAAGAAGGTTTACATTCCAACATGACAATGATCCAAGGCACACAGCAAAAATGACCACTCAAAGGTTGAAGGAGAGAAAGGTGAATGTCCTTGCATGGCCTAGTCAGAGCCCAGACGTAAACCCCATTGAAAATCTGTGGAATAACTTGAAGACTGCAGTCCACAAACAGTCACCATCAAATTTAACTGAACTTGAGCAGTTCTGCAAAGAAGAGTGGGCAAATATTGCAAAGTCTAGATGTGCAAAGTTAGTAGACATATATCCTAACAGACTAAAGGCTGGAATTAAAGCAAAAAGGTGGTTGAACAAAATACTGACACAAGGGAGTGATCCTTTTTCCAACTCAGTGATTGTTTTTTTTTTTACATAATGGTTTTATATCTTACACTTGGATGTTACAAGTTGCAATAAAGAGTAAATACAGCTGGATAAAACAAAAACTGTGTCTGTCTTCATTTCAGGCTGCAAAGCAACAAAATTTGATTATTTTAAAGGGGGGATTGTTTTCTATACCCATTGTATATATCTGGACAAACATTTTATTTTCCCATGTAATATACTTACCTAATCCGCTAATCCTCTGAACGCAACACAGATCACTGCCACTCCTCCATGATAGCAGTCTTGTGAATGGACTGATCATGCCGCTGGATGTGGGGGAGTGCAGTTTTTCCAGAGGATCAGAGGATGGGGCAAGTGTAGCTTTTGCATGAGCCACTGGAGAAACGAGACGTGAACCCATACAGTCAGGGCACAGACCCACTGCATGGGGATATAAAGAAATTGGCTGGAGTTCTGTCCAGGCCCATATGAAGTTTTGCCACTGAACATCTGAATGCTGCAGAGGAGGACTGGTTGAAAGTGTTGTGGTCAAATGAGACCAAAATTGAGCTCTTTGGCATCAACTCAACTCGCCATGTTTGGAGGAGGAGGAATGCTGCCTATGACCCCAAGAACATCATCCCAACTGTCAAACATGGTGGTGGAAACATTGTGCTTTTGGGGTGTTTTTTTACTACTAAGGGGACAAGACAACTGCACTGTATCAAGGGGACAATGGACGGGACAATGTACCATCAAATCTTGGGTGAGAACCTTCTTCCCTCAGCCAGGGCACTGAAAATGGGTCGTGGATGGGTGTTCCAGCATGACAATGACCCAAAACACATGGCCAAGGCAACAAAGGAGTGGCTCAAGAAGAAGCACATTAAGGTCCTGGAGTGGCCTAGCCAGTCTCCAGAACTTATTCCAATTGAAAATCTGTGGAGGGAGCTGAACGTTCGAGTTGCCAAATGGCAGCCACCAATCCTTAATGACTTGGAGAGGATCTGCCAAGAGGAGTGGGCCAAAATGTCTCCTGAGATGTGTGCAAACCTGATGGCCAACTACAGGAAACGTCTGACCTCTGTGATTGCCAACAAGGGATTTGCCACCAAGTACTAAGTCATGTTTTGTGAAGGGGATCAAATACTTATTTCCCTCATAAACATCCAAATCAGTGCATAATTTGTTAGACATGCATTTCTTTTGAATTTTTGTTTTCGCTATTCTGTCTCTCTCTGTTACAATACACCTACAATTTGATTTTTAGACTGATCATTTCTTTGTGAGTGGGCAAACATTCAAAATCAGCAGGGGCTCAAATACTTATTTCCTTCACTGTATCTGCAATTAGATGTTTTTCTGCTTAAATGGCTCTTCAACACATTTTGGCAAACACACTCAAATGAATGTGAATTATAGTGCTATACATTATAAAAAAAAGTCAGTGTCTGGTTTTGGGTGCATTATGGTACATTAGTAGCCCATTCACAATGAAGAGGATGCCTTTATGTAATGTAATGCACCAACAGTGATATGAGGGGACCCTAAGCTATGGTTCTTTTACTTGCTCTAGCACATAATTCAGCTTTAATACATACTACCTGCCAGGGGCGGACTGACAACTCATGGGGCCCCCGGGTAATAGGGGATCATGGGGCCCCTGTGTCCTTGCCCAAACTCAAAAAAGCCTATGAAAAAAGGTACCAGGGGCATCTCATGGGGCCCCCTACTGACCCCGGGCCCTCGGGCAGTGCCCGAGTTTCCAAATGGTCAGTCCGCCCCTGCTACCTGCCAATTTTACCCTGAGCAGAAACTTTTCTTGAGGTCACAAATCCATATTCCATAAAATACCTGTTAGACCAGCGGTTCTCAACCTGGGGGTCGCGACCCCTTTGGGGGTCGAACGACGCTTCCACAGGGGTCGCCTAAGACCATCGGAAAACACATATTTCCGATGGTCTTAGGAACCAAGACACCGCTCCTCGCCGCCGCCACCGCCGCCGTCTCCAGGTGTGGGCGGGATGACATGCCGCCCCTGTCATCTGGACACACCTCGAGATCAATCCTCGCCTGTGATTGGCCGCCGGCACTGTAGCTCAGGAGAGGCACACAGGCGGCCAATCACCGGCAAAGAGGTGGAGCTTGGAGAGGGAGGAGCCGAGCGGCACCACGAAGATCGAGCGAGTGAAGAGGAGGAGAGCGGCCGGAGAAGGAAGACATCTGACAGGTAAGTGTTGGTACCATGGGAGAGGGAGGGAGCGAGCGAGCCCAGGCTGGAGCAGGGGTCTGCAAGGTAAGTATCATTGGTGTCAGTGGGAATAGTGCCCCATCATTGGTGTCACTAATACCAATGATGGGGCACTATTCCTCCCACTGACACCAACGATGGGGCACTATTCCTCCCACTGACACCAACGATGGGGCACTATTCCTCCCACTGACACCAACGATGGGACACTATTCCTCCCACTGACACCAACGATGGGACACTATTCCCCCCACTGACACCAACGATGAGGCACGATTCCTCCCCCAAATGACACCAACGATGGGGCACGATTCCTCCCCCCACTGACACCAACGATGGGGCACAATTCCTCCCCCCACTGACACCAACGATGGGGCACAATTCCTCCCCCCACTGACACTAAGGATGGGGCAGTATTCCTCCCCCCACTGACACCAAGGATGGGGCACTATTCCTCCCCCCACTGACACCAATGATGGGGCACTATTCCTCCCCCCACTGACACCAATGATGGGGCACTATTCCTCCCACTGATACCAATGATGGGACACTATTCCTCCCACTGATACCAATGATGGGGCACTATTCCTCTCACTGACACCAATGATGGGGCACTATTCCTCCCACTGATACCAATGATGGGACATTATTCCCCCCCACTGATACCAATGATGGGGCACTATTCCTCCCACTGACACCAATGATGGGG